AATGTGAAGACTTTCCAAAGGAATCCAAAAATAGCATGCATTTACAAATACCTGAGTGACTGCTATGGGCAGAGCACAACCCTAGGAACAGAAACACCAGTGTTGATGCCTAAGGTGATTCTTTGTACAAGGGCAACATTGATTTTTCTGTTTAAATTCTGATGTGAGTATAATCAAGGTTCTGTTGAATTTTTGTTTGTTGTTTTTCTGAGACAGGATCTCACTCTGTCCTGTCTCAGAACGCTGGAGTACAGTGGCATGATCACGGCTCAACACTACCTTGATCTGCAGGGTTCAAGCCATCCTCCAATCTTAGCCTCACAAGAAGCTGGGACCACAGGCATACTCCACTGTGCCCAGCTAACCTAATTCTTTGTTGCCCAGGCTGGTTTTGAACTCCTAGGCTAAAGAGATCCTCCTGCCTCTGCTTCCCAAAAGTGTTGGGATTACAGGCATGAGCCACTACATCTGGCCTGTAATCTTTTAAAGAATGAAATAAAAGAGTGATTCCCACTATGCATTCTCTTTTTTGTTGTTGTTTTTTAACCCACTTCCCATTTAGGAAAAAAAAAAAAAGTACAGCTTACTGCCAGCGCTCATTTAATTTTATATAAACACAGACTTTGAGGATGAAACAAATCTGATTTTCAACATAAAAATATAAAAAACTTATTTTCAAACAGACCTTGTCTTTAACCCTAATGTAACAGAAATGTATACGATGTTACATTAGATTTAGAGACAAGAGTATCCTCAGGTCAAATGGGAAACGGGTTGAGACAGGGTCTCTTTGTTGCCGAGGCTGAAGGTCAACAGCATGACCATGGCTCACTGTAGCCTTGAACCCCTGGGCTCAAGTGATTCTCCTACCTCAGCTGGGACTATAGGTGTACGCCACTACATCTGGCTAATTTTTTTTTTAAAAGAGGCCTCACTATGTTGCCCAGGCTGGTCTCAGACTGGTAATCATCCCGCCCAATCTCAGCCTCCCAAAGTGCTAGGATTACAGGAGTGAGGCGCCACACCCAGTCCCTCTATGTATTCTCTTTATCATTAGACATACTTTTCTGGGATGTGACCGCCATTTACATATTTTGTTGTTGTTGTCGTTGTTATTGTAACAGGGTCTTGCTCTGTTGCCCAGGATAGAGTGCAGTGGTGCGATCTCAGCACACTGCAACCTCTGCCTCCTGGGTTCAAGTGAATTTCATGCCTTAGCCTCTCAAGTAGCTGGCTAACTTTTCATATTTTTAGTACACACGGGGTTTTGCCATGTTGCCCGGGCTGCTCTTAAACTCCTGGACTCAAGTGATCTGCCCACTCTGGCCTCCCAAAATGCTGGGATGGCGTGAGTCATCTATAACCGCACCTGGCACCATTTACACTTAAGATGAAAAGAAATTGAGGTTTTCATGGGCATTACCCACTAGTATATGGAAAAATGTAGAGTGAAATGTTATCATCTCTTTTTCTTCCTTTAAGCTACTTTGATATAAGTGGAGAGTAAGAACCTGTAAGAAAGACAGGCTTTCCGGCCGGGCGCAGTGGCTCA